TAACATGTTAAGTTTGATTTATTTACTATAATTCGATTATATGTTAGATCAACTAGTCAACGACTGTCGTTATTTTATTGTCGATTACTGTTCGTTATATATAATTTAATACTAAGAAAAATAGGTTGCGATCTACACAGTTGAAAACAAGGATCCTTGAAAGAAACAGATACATTTTTTCTAATGAAAAAAAAATTTTATTAATTTTTTGTTGCTTAGTACATTGCAAATAGCACTTATAGTTCTAATTGAAGAACAGACATTTGAAATTGTTTTTAATAATCTTGTCTTTCTTGAAACAGACATTTCCTTTTTTTTTCATTTGCAACCAATGTATTCGAATACAAGATCATTGTTTATTGTCTATTTTCAATAATTAAAATGCTTGTTTTTCGTTTTAGACTGTTTAAATCAAAATGATATTAATAGATTTATCTATAAGTTTAGATTCACATGGTAAATCAATATATGTTTTATTCCTTCTAATGAAGTTCTGACTGCAAAACTTTTCATCCTGAACCGTATATTTTGTTTATGTTCTTCAAATTGATCAAACAAAGATTGAATAAATATTAAAAACAAATGAATGTAACTAACTATTAAATAAAATTGATCTTTAGTCATCGTCAAGCAAATGAAGTTATATTTCTGCTGAAAACTTTTAGTTTTATGTATAAAAATTCCTAATCCTCAAATCGATCTTGGAAAAGGCAGATTCAAATAGCATGAAAGCTTCAGGGAATCATGATCATTTCACGAGATATTCAATAAACAAAGATGAAAAATAGCTCATTTGGCACTCCAATCTTCTCTGTAGACTTTTATTCTAAATACTTAATCTTTTTTTTTTATTTGAAAGAGTATGTCAGAATACACGACATAACCGAACCTTTTTTTTTTCTTAAATTCTTAGTTTTTAAAGGGAGAAAAGTTCAACTTCTCAAAAAAATGACGTTCTATTTATAAAGCTTTTTTTGATATATCCTGGACCCTAGCATACTCTTTCAAAACAAGCCATTGGCTACAATGAAACTCCTTCGAGAATTCTGGGATGTATGATTTAAAAAGCATAGACAGACAAATAACAAAAAAGATTTCTTGCATTTTTCAAGCAATCCAAACCTCAGTTTTCTTCCCATGCATTTATTTCAAAGTCTATGTTGTTGACGGAATTTAACTTCTTTCGTAAGGAAAGGAGGAGGAGTGAGGAGTGAAAATTTATAAAAGATGTCTTTTTTTTCAATAGAGAATATCATACGTAGCCTATTTGTTGAACTTGAATCATTCATCCGCTCTCAGCGAGCGAAAGAACAAGAAAAAGCATGAATGTTGTCTGTGTAGAAGAATACACGTGGTGCTAGTGTTCGCTCATCTTTGACCTAAGTAACGCAATAATGGCGATGATTAATAGAAGAGAAAAACAAAACATCAATTATATAGATAAATATTTTGAATAATGTTTTTATTGATGTTGGTTATGCACAGAATAAGAATGAGAGAAGTAACTTTCTTTTTAGCCAAAAGTCGACGAACGACGGTAGTATCTGAAATATTTTTAGATTAATTTTCTAAAAATTTATTTCAAAATATTGATTGAAGTATTTCTACTATCAGCTTGTATAAAAAAATCTGCACATCATGTCAATATCATATTTTGGACTTCATCTATGTATGCATATATACATAGTACATGCTCATAAGCAATCTTTAATATCTCTACTGCTTAGGTTAAGAAATGTACACAAATATAAGTTTCAAATGATTCCTAATTTAACTATATTTTTTGTTATTTTAACTTTGTATTTATGAAATATGTTATATTTTCATATATGCTGATGAAAAGAATATGAGTTTGAGACAAAGTTTTTCGTATAACATTTTTGTAAATAATTTAAATTCAGAACACAAATAATCATAATCGAAAAAAAAATATAATCCCTGCTTTTATTATAGCTTGCGAAGCTATTTCTATTGAATATAAGAAGAATGCGCCATTTCATTATGCCGTATGATACGAAGAAGAAAAACGTCGTTGCTTTTTTAAAAATAGCATAATGTTATTTGACGTTCTTATACTGCACTCAAAAACCTCATTCTTGTCAATTTCATAAGCAAGTCATGAAAAACGAAGGATTGAATGAAGAAAGTTATTGAAAAAAATATTTTTTTTTCATCATTCTGTTTTTCAGACAGAATTATAGAGTAAAAAACAATCAATTAGTACGCAATTTTATCAGTTCATTACCTATTATATTTCTGGTGATTTATAGAACATTTTTTTTTCATATCAAAATAGGAGAAAAAATTTCTCTGGAGAGTATAAAAACATTACAAAGAGCTTCATTTACCATTTAAGTCATCGCGTTTTTCTAAACTTGTACTATGTAATTTATCAAAGATGATTTCAATAATAGTAAAACATCATTCAAAGTAATGTAACTTGGATTCATGAGAAATATTATTTAAATAGAATAATGGTTTCTACTAGTGATACTTATGATAGTCAGAGCACATATATATTTAACATGAACAAGCAGTTGTAAACTTTTCAATATATTTGATAAAAGATCGTTCACAATCGCTCGAATTGTATACCGATATTGATTAAACCAATTGCAAAAAAAAAAATAATATAAAAAAATGAACTCATTGCTAAAAAAGAAGTCAATCTTTATCTTTTTTCGAAACAATTATATTGATATCAATAATTTGTCTATTATCAATCGGTAAACGCCATTACGAAATTTTAAAAAAATCCCTATATCATTCTTGATCTTTGCATTTATGTGAATAGTTCATAAAGCGCTTAATCAAATGCATGAACCATAAATACACAATTATTTTATTATGTTAGTTTATACATACATATGTATATATATTGTATTGCGTGATTTACCTGTACATATCTACGCATTCATCATAATACCTGTTTTGCTTTTTATGTAATATATAGGCCGTATTGAATAATAGTCTAACGATCGAAAAGAACCGATAGTTACAGATGACCGAACATTACATTTATATAAATAAAACAAAATCAACTTTCGATATAGTCATATACGACAAAGTTCAGTTCACATTTATCTACGAAATAAAGCGATATTGAAAAAAAAAACAACATGAGATCGAACTATGACTGTAATAAAATTTTCTTCTCATTTAATTCATTCATTATTTTATTTGATTAATTAGATTGGAATCAGCAACAAGCTGGTCTTTATGCAGGTGGAGATACATCCTTACATTCTGTTCATGGAGAAATTCATGCTGGACCTCATTCAATACCAGCACATACTGATAATGGAATAGATCCTAATCTATTAAATAATAACAATATTAACAATAATAATAATAATGCTAATGATGATTCAGGTGCATTTGTTACTGCTGGAACAGCTGGTCAACAAGGTTTTGATGTTCGTACATTAGGTTTAAGTGAACAAGAATTAAAAGAGGCAGGTTTACATCCATCATTCATGCAAAGTGGTCGTCAACTTCCATTAGATCAATATAAAATAAATTACGATCCAAATCCAATTGTTATTCGAAAACAAATTCCTGTCGAAATACCAACTGTTAGACAACAGGTCATCGTTCGATATCGTAAGAAACAAAAAAAATATAGTTTCATCATTTTTAAAAAATTCTTCGTTTTATTTTATTTTATTTACTTAGTTCGACCTCCAACACCACCTTCGCCTGGTCCATTGATTATAAAAGAAGTTCGAGAACCTCAAGCAGCTGCAGCTCCACCAATTATTATACGTACACGAGCACCTCGAGAAAAGACACCACCACCAATAGTTATTCGAGAAGCTCCACCAAATCTACCTCATATTGATACTAATCCACAATATCTTACACGTGTTGTTCGTAATAGTGAATCATCATATTCATCGCCTCCTTCACGACAACAACAACAACAACAACAACAACAGCCACGACAATATCAACAATATCAACAACAACAACAACAATATCAACAACAAAAACAACAATATCAACAACAACAGCAACAACAATATCAACAATATCAACAGTATCAAAAACAATATCAACAATATCAAAAACAAAGACAACAATATCAACAACAAATACAACAACCATATCAGCAACAAATACAACAACCATATCAGCAACTTGGATCGTTCGATAATACAGCAGTCAATTATGATCAATTTAATGATATTCAAATTGGAAATCAATATGGCAGTGGAATAAATAATTTTGGACAACAACAACAACAACCAAAATGGATTACAGAAGTTGTGTCAAATAATGGAACAGCATCGGCAGCTCCACCTTATGTTTTAGGTATAATGGACAACTAATTTTTGTTTTTATTAAAATCTTAATAACTTTTTGTTTTTTCATATTTAGATGATATCTATCGAGCAGTTAATAATCAATTACCACGTGTATAATCAATCAAATTTTATGCTTTGTTAACGTCATTTTTATCTTCTTTTTTTGCTTATGCATAGAATTCGATGTAGAAAACTTCACGTAGTATTGAAACAGGCTCATAATAATAAAAAAAAAAAATTTATAAGCCATATGATACAATAATTTTTCTGTGATAAAATCCAGTCGGAAAAAAAAACAAGAATAAAAAAATCTTCTGACATCTGCATCTATCTATTTAATATAGATGTTTTTTTTCACCTTCAATTGTATTTTCTTTTTGTTATATAGACAACGTACTCTGTTTTATTATCTTCATTTTTATGAGCAAAAAAACAGAAGAATCACGCACGTGCAAAACACGCACTGTTCATTATTCAAGGTTTATCTCACTCTAACACGATCTGTTCTTTTTTTGTTGATTTATATATTTTTTTTCTCTAAAATCAACAGACTACATACTTGTTATTATTTTAGTCAATACAGCAAAATGTTAAATATTTTCTTTATATATATACATGTTGATGCATTCATTGATTTTTTATCACATAGTGAGATAGAATACCAAGAAAAAATTTTCTATTAGAAAACGAAGAATGGAAACAGATTTATTATTAAATGTACGTGGAAATGTTCGAACACTTCGAACTATGTGGAGTGAAAAAGTACAAGAAGAACAAAAATCAATTCAACCAAAATCAGTTACGAATCGAGCATATTCAGAAACATCACAGAAAAAATTAATGAAAGATAATATACAAACTCCTATTGCTACAGATGAAACACTAATCAACAGCAAATCGAAGATTATAACTGATAGTGAAAGTAAGAAAATTGAAATCAATATCATACCAATCAATACTAAATAGATTTCAAGGCAAATAAATATTCTACAGACAATTTAAAGCTCGATAGTCAATTCTGTATTTCTTACTAAACATAGACATAGTCAACTGATTGTATTCCTGTTTAATGTCAAATATTATTCTTTTTCCTGTTTTAGAACCATCCAAGGTTGAATCAATTGAACAATCATCATCATCATCATCGATTAATGAAACAGATGATTTTTTACCACTTCCTGCACCACCATCATCTGTTATTTTTCAACATCAAGCTCAAACAATTCTAACAGTTAAACAAAGCGTTATCAAAATGTTTGATATTGATAAAAAGAAAACACATATAAATCATATAAAAAATAATGGTATTCGTCATTGGCATTTAGCTCGTCATGTATTTCGAAGTGGTCTTATATTTAGTCCATCAAGACGTGCATCTGATAGTATAATACCATTGTTAATGAAAACAAGTATTGCACAATATCATATTCGAGCAGAAAGTCTTGATAGTATTCAAACACAAACACCATTTCAAACTCTTATTGATTATCTTTCATATAATGATAATAATGATGATGAAAATATAAGTTTATTAGAGAAAAAAACAATTGTTAAACGTACTATATCAGATACAAGTGCTTGTATACAACGAAATAAATTAAATGATACCATTGCACAATATGAAACAATAATGCGTCATTTAAAAAATTATGATAAATTTAAAGAAACATATCCAATGTCATCACCATTATCATCAACACAAGAAACAATAAATATGAAACAAATAATGAAAAAAAAAGAAGAATTTATTCAACAAAATTTAATAAATAAATCATCTATTCGAAATACACAAACACAATCATTAGCAAGAAATACTAGACGTACATTTACAGAATTTATCATGAATGATCTTTTATCATCAAATATATCACGAACATTATCTAATGTACAATCATCTGTTAATATTGTTCATACGGCATCACAAACTGAAACTACTGAAATATTAAAACCAACTGAATCAATTAAATTAATGCAAGAAACTGAATCAATTCCTATAGAAGAAACAGATGCAGCTATAAATGAACTTGATAATGTTCTTAATAATACTGATACAGAAGTTTTATTAACTCCAAATAGTGAAATCAATGTTATTATTGTTAATCCTTCTACCACAGAGGATAACATGGTGAGACCCAACAAAAAAAACCATAAACTAATTAGATTATAATTTTTGTTTGTATAAATTATGATCCTTTGTTTTAGACACAACCTAAAGAAAAGCCACTTATGCAACGTTTATTTGAAGGAAAAAAGACTGCATATACAGCAAATGATCTTAATATGGAATCAAATCGAATACGTTCGTTAATAGATTATATGTTTGTTTTTTTTTTGTATTTTAATTTTTTTTCTAGCCGAAGAATTAATGCAAACATATGAAATTGCAAAAAAAAAATGTTTTTTCCCATCAGAAAAACTGCTAGTAAGTGTTAAGAATGCTAAATTATTGTTTTTCTTAGTATTTGATCACATGTTTTTTCAGAATTTCCTCGAAAACTCTATAGAAGTACTAATGTAGGAGATTTAAGATGTGTTTGGTCGCTTTTGTTCGCACTTCCGCAGCGCCCACAAAGAGCTCGACGCCCCGCATGGTTATTGTTGCATATGTTCATTTAATATCTTTTGTGCTGGTACTTAATTGAGTTTCGAGAGGTATCTGTAGAAGACATTATATGTATAATTACAATGATAGTCGAGCTTTGATCGTTCCGTATAAGCGAGATATGATATAATTTTCTATTGACTTATTTGTTATTAATTGTAAGAAGGAGTAATAAAAAAGAAAAAGAATAAGTACAATATAATATTGATAAGTTAATGTTATTTATTTATTAAATATTATTTTGTAAATCTCAAAAATACTAAATGTATAGAAAAAAAAAAGCAAATAACTCAGAAGATCATATGTTAATGTAGTTGCTTGGTCTTTCCTTATAATACTCTATACAATGAGAATAATGAGTTTTCTTATCATTTGCTAATATGTTTGTTATAAAAGAGTTATTTAATGAAAATTTGAATAGCGTTATTTATTTTAATTAGATAATGAAAAAAGAAATAAATACTAACCAGAAAAGTCCTTCAACTGATTAATCATTTTTGAATCAGAACTATGTGCATCGTGTAGTTCTAATGACTTTAGAGTATCTTGAAAAAGAGTTTAAGTCCTTCACGTATTGTTGCGGAAATATTCGATTGTTACAGAATTTTTTAACTCAATATCTTGTCTGCCATCAAGAACACTAGAAACAATGGCTTTTCCAATTTCGACTTGACACTAGAGACAAGCCTTAATACGAATAGTTTATTACGAGAGCTTCAAATCTGTCTATTGTCTCTGTCCTAAAATTTGGCTATGATAAAAGCATATCTTTTATATTGCTCATATAAATCGATAGATTCAATGTTCTACTTTCAACATAGAAGTAAATCAAAAGATATAAAACTCTCATAATAAGTTATTCTTATTAAGACTTGTTTCTGTGCAACGTTTCAAGTTGAAATTCAAAAATCAATTGTTCTATTTTTTTCTGAGAAATGTCACGATATTGTAAAAACAGATGCAGTATGTTTTCAACAATACGCTAAGGACTCAAAATATTTTTAGGATACTCATTGCTCATTAGAATCTACATATTGAACATAGTCATCACTCCAAAGCGATTAATCATTTGGAGAACTTCTCTTGTAAGTTAGTGACGACATAACAGTCGTCTTCTATTCATACAAATATCTGACACTAGAGAAAACAGCTAAAACAGTGCGTCATATTTTTGTTATTTAATAATACTGCTCATACGATAAACTTTTATCTTTTCGAAATCGATAATATATTATATTACTATGCATTTATACGATTCAAGATTAACCAATATCGAAAATGTTGTTTAAAATCGTACAGAAAGCAATGAGTGTTGTTCAGTTTACATAACAATCCAGAGACAATATTAGTTCTCTCAATGACTGCATAGGTATTAACTGCCTTCTTTATTGAAAAAATAAGATCCAATGTTTTTATGCGATCATAATGTGAAAGTCATATATGTAATATTTAATTTGGCGAAAACTTTATCTACAATAGATATTCTTCTCCTAAAATCTCAACTAGATTCGAATTCTTCTTGTAGCTATATTGCTTCTTCAATAATTGACCATATTTTAACCAGTATATGTGATCTATTTTGATTAGAATTTTTATATTACTCTAAATAGTGCATAACATATTGATAAACAAAATATAAACTTAGATAAAATGATCTCTTCATAAAAAGTTTTCTACAGACTGAAAGTTCAGTACAATACTAATCACTGTCAAAGAACAATTTCATATGCATCAAATCTTTAAGCATTAAAATACGATCATATGTATGGACCTACGAAACATAAATGATTGTTTCCTAATATATACTGATTTCATATGCTTTGTCATACTATGATTTGCTTTACTACCGATCTACAATGATAGGTCGAAAATTAATTTCAGAAAAATATTGAAATTATAAATAAAAAAAAAGATTTATACATTGGAAACATCTTATCTAGAGAAAGTGTACTTTTCAAAAAGAAACATGTCTCTTCTATCATAATATCACTTGAGAAACATTATTTTTCGAAATTAATCAATTTATCTTGATAACTTTTGAGATGAGAAAACATTTTGATTATTGATGGATGAAAGAAAGAAGAATGTTCCCACCTTTCAGCTACTTTGTAGTATGGCGTTATGCTTAGCAAGAGATTAAATAGCTCGATATGTTTCCTACAACTATGACTAATTATATTGTATCGAATGATTTCTTTATAGTATGCAACAAAAATGATTAAAATTGATCGTCGAGGTTATAAACAACATATTCGACTTCTATGTTTAACAACAGAACGTGTTTATATAATAACAAAAAAAGATCCATATCCAAAAGAGACTCTTCTTTTCAAAGATATTCTTGGTATTACTTGTACACCATGTCAAGATGGCTTTATATGTCTTCATACAAGAGAAACACGAGAAGATCGAGTAAAATTTAATTGACTTTTTCTTTTCCGTAGAAAATTTAAATTGATAAATTAAATTTTAAGGGTGATTGGATTTTTGTTATTGATCATCCATGTGAATTTATTACACAACTGTTTATGGCCATGGGACGAAATCATAATGATAATTATCTCAAAATAGAACCTAAGTATGAATAGAAAAACAATCTTATGAATTAAGCTCCTTTTTTTCCTGTTTTTTTTTAAAGATTTAAACATGTACGTCGAGGCACAGGTTCTATCAAATGTTTAAAAAAGATTCTTTTTTTTTATGTATATTTTCTTTTATTTAGGTACAGTATCTGATGAATGTTTAATCGAAGTTCGTCCATCACGTGCATTTCGTATTGAATTTGAAAATTATGAAGTTTTAGTTATTGTAAGAAAAAATTTTATCTGAATAAGACTTTTATCTTTCTCTTATTTATTATTTTAGTACACACAATAGTCGATTTTATGGCTGAACTTTTTTTGTCCTTCTTGTCGTTGTTATTGCTGCTATTTTTGCTGAATATTGCTTTATTGAAACACAAAAAATAATAATGGAGAAAATTTGAAATAAATGAACCTAAATGTGCTTATCGAAAACAATGAGACATATTCGATCTGCATACATTCCATACTCTTGAGCATTTTGAAAGTCAGGCATAAATCGAAAAATAAACGCGAAACAAAATCATCAGAATAGTACTAAACTTTAAGAATGCAAGGAACTAAAGAGATCTGACAATGGTGTTTATTCTGAATATGTAAAGAATTATGGTCTGAAGTCATTTTCAGATATTAAAACGTTGCCATAGTTTAGAGGTGGAATCGGTCCGGCCGGACCGGACCGGACAAGAAGTTAAACCGGGCCTGACAGGACCGGATTTTTGCCAGTTCATCATTACAAAATTGTTGTTTGCACCCAAGAATTTTCTCTACTGAAAACGGCTTTTTTATAATATTTTCAAGTCAGAAGAATGTATTTGCGAAAAACTCAATAGAGATCTTGTCTTCAACTTGACTATAAACGATTGATTGTTCTCTTTATATTTCTATCGATTTCTTTCTCGTATATCACTCAATTTAATCTTGATCAAATAATTTATTCTCTTGTTCTATTTAGGCAGCTGCCTGAATCAAGAAAAATAAATATTTACGTTTTTGTGTTAGATTTATTATAAACTTGCCTTTTTTTTCCTTTTTTGAAATTAAGATGAAAAACAGATTTGATCTGAATAGCTAATTTATATCGATGTTGGGCTCGGCAAGTCGATGCACCCTGCTATAAAATATGAAGGGAGAGTTCTAGTTCCAATTTTTATTTCCAGTTCGGATTAGGAGTAACGATTTGCTGTTAATTTATTATAATTTTAAATTGGATCTACATAAATTTAAATTTTGTAAAATTTTTAAATTCAAAATAAATAAAACTTTTTAAAATTTATTTTTGGATTTATAAATTTTTCGTAAATGTAAATTGATCACCCCTAGTTTGGATTTCTGCATGTGAATATTCAACTCCCCCTTCGCCAACATTTTATGTGAACAGATACTTTTATAGTCGGTTATTTTCGCCGGATTTTTGCCAGTTTAGCTGTAAAATTCGTCCGGTCGGTTGCGGGCCGGACCGGACAGAAGAAACCTGTCCGGTTCTAGCTCTGCCATAGTTAATTATTAAATGTCCATGACGCTCTGTGAACACATTCCATTAATTTTCTTAGCAAGTGAGATGCGACATTTATGTCTTTTCATCATTAGTTCAGTTCGTTAAATATTTAAATATGTAGACTCAACAATTTCTATTAAATCTGATCTTCTATGTAATATTGTTTATTGGTGGAAGAGGAACTAATCGCTATTTGTCTCGAATCACTCATCATTTAGCATGCTGACTATGTCGTGATCTACATCTACTCTTGTGACTAGTTAGTATGTATAGAAAACTCAAGCAATAGAGCGAAAGAATTCTGCATCAGTTAGACTTTCTATTCAAAGCTGTAGTTAGTGTCAATGGTAAGGAACATATCGGGCTATTGAATATAATGCTAGGAGCATTTCGCACCGTAAATTAGCTCAAGGGCAAGGGTAATCTTCTTGCCTTACTCATCACATATGTTTTCTTAATTTCTTGACTTGTGTCAGAAAACGTTTAAAATATTCTCTCTCGCTCTCTTTCTGTAGATATTAACACGGTTGAACTTATAGTTTGATTATAGCAGATATGTAGCTGGCAAACCAGTAGGAAAGCATTGTTCAAAAGAATAGCACTCACTCTTATCCTCATGTGCTTCACTAGAAAATTAACTCTCTTGTTCATTTTAATGATTAGAATTGAAAGATTTTTCAACGAGAAAAACAAAATTTAATTTAAGAAAAAGAATCTTCTAATGTTTATTTATCTTTTAGCTTTTAAATTAATATAAATATTATTTTATTGACATTTGCGCCCAATGAGTTCTATTTGACACATGTTCATCATTATCATCGCCACCATCTTAATCATTAGTATTCGATGTTATAAACTATGTTCATATTTATCGAAACATTTATTGAACACAGATATACCTTTATCTATATCAATAAATCTCATATGTACAATTTATTAACTCGTAATGCATAAGAAACAAGTAAAAAACAGTATATAAGGAATATATTAGCGAGAAGGGCTGCCAAAAGGTGTTCACATTAGAAAGCACACATGTCGTTTGGTTTTCAGCAACTGTGATTGTAAGATGATTTGTTATTGCGAAGAATTGTGACGCAGAAACGCACAGCTAAAAAAAAAAACTCGTAATTACGCCAGAGATGAGCACAGGACAACTTTTTCTGTCCTGTCCTGCCCTGTCCTGTAGTCAACCTCCGTCCTGCTGAGCGGCAGGACAGAACGAAAAATGACTTAGCCTCCTGTCCTGTCCTGTCCTGCAGTCAACCTCTGTCCTGTTGAGCGGCAGGACAGGACGAAAAATGGCTTATCCTCCTGTCCTGTGCGGCAGGACAGGACAGGACATTAAGCAGGACAAACACGACATCTTTAATTTTCGACTAAGTGAAGCATACACTAAACGTTTCAGCCATCTATAGTGAGTATCAGATAGAGATGAGCACAGGACAACTTTTTCTGTCCTGTCCTGCCCTGTCCTGTAGTCAACCTCCGTCCTGCTGAGCGGCAGGACAGAACGAAAAATGACTTAGCCTCCTGTCCTGTCCTGTCCTGCAGTCAACCTCTGTCCTGTTGAGCGGCAGGACAGGACGAAAAATGGCTTATCCTCCTGTCCTGTGCGGCAGGACAGGACAGGACATTAAGCAGGACAAACACGACATCTTTAATTTTCGACTAAGTGAAGCATACACTAAACGTTTCAGCCATCTATAGTGAGTATCAGATAGAGATGAGCACAGGACAACTTTTTCTGTCCTGTCCTGCCCTGTCCTGTAGTCAACCTCCGTCCTGCTGAGCGGCAGGACAGAACGAAAAATGACTTAGCCTCCTGTCCTGTCCTGTCCTGCAGTCAACCTCTGTCCTGTTGAGCGGCAGGACAGGACGAAAAATGGCTTATCCTCCTGTCCTGTGCGGCAGGACAGGACAGGACATTAAGCAGGACAAACACGACATCTTTAATTTTCGACTAAGTGAAGCATACACTAAACGTTTCAGCCATCTATAGTGAGTATCAGATAGAGATGAGCACAGGACAACTTTTTCTGTCCTGTCCTGCCCTGTCCTGTAGTCAACCTCCGTCCTGCTGAGCGGCAGGACAGAACGAAAAATGACTTAGCCTCCTGTCCTGTCCTGTCCTGCAGTCAACCTCTGTCCTGTTGAGCGGCAGGACAGGACGAAAAATGGCTTATCCTCCTGTCCTGTGCGGCAGGACAGGACAGGACATTAAGCAGGACAAACACGACATCTTTAATTTTCGACTAAGTGAAGCATACACTAAACGTTTCAGCCATCTATAGTGAGTATCAGATAGAGATGAGCACAGGACAACTTTTTCTGTCCTGTCCTGCCCTGTCCTGTAGTCAACCTCCGTCCTGCTGAGCGGCAGGACAGAACGAAAAATGACTTAGCCTCCTGTCCTGTCCTGTCCTGCAGTCAACCTCTGTCCTGTTGAGCGGCAGGACAGGACGAAAAATGGCTTATCCTCCTGTCCTGTGCGGCAGGACAGGACAGGACATTAAGCAGGACAAACACGACATCTTTAATTTTCGACTAAGTGAAGCATACACTAAACGTTTCAGCCATCTATAGTGAGTATCAGATAGAGATGAGCACAGGACAACTTTTTCTGTCCTGTCCTGCCCTGTCCTGTAGTCAACCTCCGTCCTGCTGAGCGGCAGGACAGAACGAAAAATGATTTAGCCTCCTGTCCTGTCCTGTCCTGCAGTCAACCTCTGTCCTGTTGAGCGGCAGGACAGGACGAAAAATGGTGTACCCTCCTGTCCTGCCGCGCAGGACAGGACAGGACACAGGACGACCGCACCGTCCTGTCCTGTGCTCATCTCTGAATTACGCACAACTGATAGTTTATCATTTTTTTTGAATGTACGTTTTATTCGTTCCGTCCATTTCTTGTTTTTGTTATTTTTTCTCTTTAGAGTTTTTCATAGAAAATACGTGTAATGACATTGCAATTCGATCTTAATCGAAAATATAGGAAGAATTTGCAACAAAAGTTGCTCTATCAGATGTGAGATCATTCATAACTAGGATATATTTCCTAGTAGAGATTTTACTTTATTTATTCATTAAGAGAAACTATAAATCGTTTTCATATCAAAAACAAAGAATTATCAATACTAAACATGTACTAATTGAAATGAGAGAAACAGAAATACTTTTGATGATGACCGCTTGTCTTGATGATCGATAAACTTTGTATCAAATACTGTACGTATATATATCTTAATATTTTTCGACATCTATCGTAACTATATTATGATTATATTATTCGATAACGTTTTCATTGGATTGTACATCTGCTCACATGTATATTCTATTTTATATCATCAAGTAAAGTAATTTATTTTTTGTTTTTTTTGTATCTTTTCAAATGAATATCAATGATTTGATTCCAAATAATTTCATAATGAAATTAGAAAATTTCTTGGTGTCAATATGTTTTTTTAGACGAATAATTCAATATTAATAGAATAAGAAAAAAAGTTAATTTATTGCTGATGTTTTCGAATGTTTTCAAGTTTCTCTAATTGGTTTAGTCAATTTTTCAGTATGGAAAATGAACCATATCAAAGTCAACGTAATTATCAACAACAAGCTGCTGAATATCTAAGTCAAGCATTAGAATATGATGAACAATCAGGTATTTTGCTTTTTCTTCAAATTTCCTTTTTTCTTTCATTTTTCAATTTATAAAATAGAAAATCATGAATTAGCTATTGCATTATATAAAAAAGGCATTGAAGAATTAGAAAAAGCAATAAACTTAAATATTGATCCAAATGGTAAAATATTCACAAATATTATCATTTATATTATTTATTTCAATAATAGATCAACGCGCACTAGAGTTACGTACAAAAATGCGTAAAAATTTAGCTATGGCTCGTGAACGAGTTGAAATTTTACGTAAGTCTATGATTTTATTCAGAGATGTGTTCTGTCCGATGTTCGTCTTTTTTCTTATATGGTTGCCGGACGAGCACATCTTGATCATACCACCTATTAAACTCTATTACTAGAACTTCTTTTGAATAAAGTAGGCAGATCAAACGCTGAAAGTTAAGACAAAGAAATTTAGCTGCTGACAGATTTGTTATTTATAGGAGACCATTAGCAATATTCATTGAAAATTATCCTGATTACAATTCACTTTAAACCTAAATTTTGCAAAAATAAATTAAGATTGAGATGGACATTGTATAAGTATGTATCAACATCTGACTAAATCTTATCTAATTCAGGTATTGGTAGTTCAAAATTTGTGTAAAATTGGTTTTTGTTATGATTCGATTGAGTTTCGTCGAATTACTTATCAAAACATTGTTTTCGACATATCGGATCAAATCGTGATAACCTAGATATTTATTCGGATCTTTTTTTTTGTTTAATTGTTGAGAAAATCGTTTTTTTCAATATGATAGTAGAAAAGTCATCAAAATAAGTTCATATTCAAAACTAATTTTCGGCCTTTACACCTTTCTGTTATTTTCGAATATGAAGTATAAGATTCGATGCGAATTTTTATATTGATTCTGAATATGATATTCATTTCTTTTAGAGCTGAAGCTTTAATCGTAAAAACCTCTAAATACAAGCCTGTTTTTATGATTTCTTTGCTGTCATATTGACAAAATTGTTTTTCTCAACAAACATGCATAAACTTTTCCCCTAACTATAGAACGAGTATAATCAAAAAATGATTCAGGTAAATATTAAGGTTATCAAGGCTTGATGTATTTGTCGTATTTAAATTTAGGTTTTTACAGGTAGTTCGACAAGAAACTCTATTCAACCATGACAGAAAAATGCCAAAAATTTTTGTTCAAATTCCGCATTGTTAGTGTCTGAAATCATTTTTTTGTGGTATTTTCAACTATATATTATTACTTATACATGCATGTCGAAACATGAAGTACTATTCGTCAATAATTACCATAATACCACTACTATGAGAAAAAAATTCTCAGGTTACTATGAGTTACAAATACTCAGTTGCTCCGCCTCATTTCTTAGGCACGATGCGCGTCTTCGATGTGTTTTGTAATCTTTTCCACTAACTATATAAAAATTTGTATTATTACTTTTCAGAAAAATTAATTCAAACTGATTCCAATCCAGTAATGAAAGTTCACGTCCAGCCAACTAAAGTTCAACGTCCATTACGACCTCGTAGTATTGGTTCAGCACCTTCAGTGAGTATCATATAAGCTTTGATCTCAACAATGCTATAAATAGCTTATTTTGCTTGCATGTGTTTCAAGTCTGCTTCATCTAATTGTCGCTCTCGTGTTATGTCACCTGCTCCTGCTTCTGCCTCATCGATGCGTTTAACTTCTAAATTAAAACAACCACCTCCACAAACTATGAATGTGAAAAAAAATGATTTCATTTTATATTATATATATATATATATAAGAATATTTCTAGAATCGAATAAAAGAACTTCCATCAACAGCAAATGCTAGGAAAATACCAACACAAAACCAATCACAACGAATATCACTTAAATTACCCAATGTTGAACCTAAACTTGTTTCATATATTCTTAATGAAGTCATTGAAAATAGACCACATGTCAAATTCGATGACATAAGTAAGTTTGTTTTCATTCAAAAGAGAATTTATAATCTTAAGACAACATCTCGGTATATAACGAGTGATGCCAATTAAATCGAACAAAATAAACGTTTGTTGTTTTTTTTGAGTCATCCTGATAAACTTTCAGAAAGCCATTCAATATAGAATTTTTCATTCTAAAACATTGTTCCCTTTGTTTTTCAAATAAATGTTTCCGTTGAAGTAAAATTTAAACTATTAACATATTCGATCATTCAATGGTGACGATTAAAGAGAAAAAGCAGAAAAATAATGCAACTTTTTTCGAGAGCAGTTGTCTAGATTTTTGAAAATAATACTATAAAATTCTATATCTTTTGGTATGTATTTCATATTAACACTGGAAAAGCTCTTGTCTGGTCTGATTATACTTTTGTTCTTTTTTAATCCGATACAGCCTATTCGTTTTTTATTCTCAATTCAACAGTCACATTATTTCGATCAAGTTTTTTTTTCAAAATACGGACGAAAATATGCCTAGAGGCATTAATTTCAAATCTTTTTCTCATCAACGATAGCACCAGGAGCCTTGAAAACATCGTAGATATATAGAACACAAAAATTAACGCATTTTAAAATGAAAAATTCTCTATCAAATAACTTTCTTAAAATGTACTGGAATGATACACAAAAAAAAATGATTTTATTCAAAGACAACTAATCAGAGTGAGAATGTCAAGTTTTTGGTTATTTTCGAATAGATTCAGTTTTTTTTCTAAGATAAGATTGAACAATTATCAATAAATTTTGACATAGCCCTTAGTTTATATCTTGAAATAGTTTCAACTCAACATTATTGTAGAACTTTGAATGAAATATTTAAATAAACGAAATCTCATCTATGCGTTTCTATTAAAGAAACAATTTCTGTGGAAGTTTCTGTTTGAAAAAATTACTTTTAAAAATGCAAAAGTAAATAGTTTATCCAATCTTAGTCTGGAAGGAAATTCTCAACATATCAGTTTTGATCATTTTTTAGTCTTTTGTATTTTTTTTTAATGCAATACAAAGATATTTATTATGGATATGATCATAGAGAGACCACAGTCCACTACAATTAATCCTATAATAGACATTAAGAAATAGAAGTGACGATTTATTTTATGCATCAGTGACATTTGTCTTATGTTAAATCTTGTTTTTGTATCATTGTTATGTATTCCTTATATTTTTCTTGTTCGAATATTTACTTAAGTATAGTAGTTATCATTTGGATCATTATTAAATATATTGCCATTAATTTACAAATTGAATATTTACTAGCGATAGTTCGAAGCATGGCGTCGACTATTACTTGAAATGACTAGAAAAAGATGCATATACTACTCATAAATGTTGGGATAGTCTATTAACGATTATGTTTTGTTAAAAGAATCTATACATCATATTAGGAATGCAAATAATTACATAGAAAGTGACATAAACGAAGAAAACAAAGATGCTGATATCAATAGAAGAGCAGATGGTAACAGTGAATAACTTTCATGAAAGAAAATAATCAACAATAGAACTTCTGGTTTTAGTTATAAGAATGTTTGATAGACATTTAAAATGTTACTTTTCTTTATAAACCCAATTTTCATCTTTGGATCTAGATCGAGATGAATTTGCAGCTTTCTATATCTATGTGAAATATATAAATTTAAAAACTCCATGTCATACTTTCTTTTTGTGCACATATATTTTCTTTCAACTTTTGTATAAATTCAGTTCTATGGTCTGTTAGTAATATTATACTATTCTATAGTCTATAGTATCCTTTAACAAATATTCAAATATGATGATGAAATAAGAAAAATGATTAACTAATATAGAATAAATCAAATTTTAAATAATTATTTTATTTTCCCAGGTGGTCAACAAGGAGCTAAACGAGCACTTGAAGAAGCTGTTATTTTACCAGTTCTTCGACCAGAAGTAAATAATATTTATTTAAATAAATAAAAAAAAAATAATATGAATACCTTCTTTGTTAATAGATGTTTACTGGTTTACGTGCACCTGTACGAGGCATTCTTTTATTTGGACCTCCCGGTAATGGTAAAACAATGCTGGTAATTAAAATCTGACTTTGTACAATAATGAAATATTTCTATATGAATAGGCAAAAGCTGTAGCTTCTGAAGCTAAAGCACGATTTTTCAATATAAGTGCATCAAGTTTAACATCAAAATATGTCTGTTTTATATTTATTTACTTCTCTATATCAAAAAAAAAAAAATATTTATTTATTTTTTTTCTTTTTCTTTTTCAATAGATTGGTGAAGGTGAAAAATTAGTTCGAGCTTTATTTACTGCAGCTCGTGAATTACAACCATCGATTATCTTTATTGGTTCGTTAATATCTTTGATATTAGTTTCTTCATATATTATTTTGTTTATAGATGAAGTAGATTCATTACTTACAGCACGTAAAGAATCTGAACATGATGCAATGCGTCGACTTAAAACTGAATTTCTTATTCAATTTGATGGTGTAAGAAATCTTAATAAGAAAGAAAAAAAAAGTAAATAATAAATTACATATATATATAGGTTCAAACAAATAATGATGATCGTATTCTTGTTCTTGCTGCAACAAATCGTCCATTTGAATTAGATGATGCAGCATTAAGGTATGAAACAGACAAAAAAAAGCGAAGTAGTTTTTTTTTTTCTTTTTTTTTGTTATTTTTCAAGACGTTTTCCCCGTCGTATTTATATACAATTGCCAGATATTAGAACACGTGAACAACTTTTAAAATATTTACTTAATAAACAAGAACATAATTTAACAGACAATGATTTTCGATGGATTGCTAAGTAAGCAAGAAAAAAACAAAAAGTTTCTTGTTTTTTTTTCTTCATCATTTCGTTGATAATACGAGAATTTTTTTTCTTTTCTTAAGTGAAACTAATGGTTACTCAGGTAGTGATTTAACTGCTGTAGCAAAAGATGCTGCAATGGGTCCTGTACGTGAATTAGGTGTTGAAGAATTAAAACAATTATCAATTAGTCATATTCGTCCAATATTACGACAAGATTTTATACAAGCATTAAGAAAAATTCGAGCAAGTCTATCATCATCAACACTTGATAAATATATACAATGGAATTCAACATTTGGTGATTGTAGTTAAAAAAGAATAAATTATTATCTTCATGTATTTTCTTTTTTTACTGTAAATATCTATATAATTATTATTCTATTTTTTTTGTTCTTTACAATTATCTTTATTTTTTTTTGTCTTTTGTGTCTTTGTATTTAGTCACGTGTAAAAATTCAAAAGCTGACATTTCATACACATGTGTACAGAAAAAAAAAAGAAAAGAATAATGCATATAATTTATTTTTCTTGATCAAGTGTTCGATTTCTTTTTTTTTTTTTTCATTCAGACAAAATAGATAAATAATGTATGATTTTTGTATACTATATCAATAAATCAAATTTATCTTTTTCGTCGTCATATAACACAATGACAACGAGATCGAATGTAGTGCAATATGACTTTAATTTATCAACAAATTGCAATAACATCGACCTAGTCGCATTGGGTTTTTTTTTCAACAAAGTGTATTAATCATTATAAAAACCAATTTTGTTTTTTGCATAATAGTTTTAAAAAAAAAAAAGAATTAAATAAAAGATAAAAATCAAACTTATATAGATATTTATATGTGATAGAACTAAAGAAAAAGCTAATTATATCATTTATAATGATTATGATCAACTCGCATGGCGTAAGCGCCCTTTTTTCCCGACTTCTACATAAGAATATTTTCTTTTCCTTTATCTAAACATCTGTTAATACTACTGATGTTCGTTCACAAAGAAAGAAAAAAAAAATCGAGAATTTCGCTTACCTACATAGAAATGATATGACAGAGTCACTTCTTTTACAACTCTTTTTTTAAAAAATAAATATACATATGGCACACAACGAGACACAAAATACGAGAGTAAAGTGGATTGTAACAGAGTAAAAAGGAACAAGAGAGAGCGAGAGAGAGAGAGAGAGCATACAGCATTTACCGTTGCGAGCGTCAATCGAATCGAAAAAAGAAAGAGAACGACAACAACAGAGAATAGCATACCTGTACACACCATCACCATCAGGGCACAAGCAAGAGGAGCAATTGAAATAAAAAAATAAAAGGAGAAAATATATATATATGCACATCGTCGTAGCGACGACAATAACAACGATCATGCAAGGTCTCAATATAAAACTCTTCTTTGCCTTACACATAACAAAGAAAAAAAAAACAACATACACACATACACACACGAGAACTCGTCTTCCTGTTCCTTTTTTTTTTTCCTCAGCTACTGTGCATACCATGATAAAGGAAAAATGATGGATACACAAGGATAAAAAAAGGAAAAGAAAATATCGACATATGTATATATAAATATATATTTATATCTATGCGTATATATATATATCTATTTCTCGTTTGTGTATGTACGAGAGTACAATTTTTTAGCTAGCTTGTGATATTTCTGACATATACGTTCTGCTCAAGGTGTAGAAAATGCAAAGAGCAAAAGAACCTATTAGAAGCGATTATAATAACTAACTACATAGATATCTATCCTTTCTAATGTCTCATACCTCAATTAAAGACAAATATAAGAAGTCCTATGATAATTACCTATATGAATACACACAAATATATATATATATATACATATACATGTCCAACTTTCTTTCACATACCTTCCAAACGAATGACTGAGCTTTATGTTCGTATGTTAAAATGAAATATATTTCACCACTCTCTTTCTCTCTTTCTTCTAATTATAGTAGCTCTTTCTCTTTTTCTCTCTCTCCCTCTCTCTGTCTCTATGTATGCACAAACAGACACAACACTTCAACTGTAGCGAGCAGGTAATAAGAAGACTTTAAAAATTTTTTTTTTCTACCTCTTAGAAAAGACTGTCACATTCGAGTGCCTTTCTCTTTCACTCTCTCTGGCTCTTTGTAATCAAACAAAGAAAGAAAGATTGATTTTTCTGCCGCACAGAAAATACCATAATGGTACTTCTCAAAAGATTTTTTTTTTCTTCTTCTTTAATATAATTGAACTATGTAAACAAAGTGAACTAAAAGAATTCATGCCGTTGTCAATGATACACAAATGAAATTAACCTGTGAGGCAAGTCGAGCCTTTTATTTATATACATATTCGTAATGGAATCATACATTTTTTGAAGAAGAAACCAAAAATTTCTCTTGAATATAAAAGAAAATACATGCTTGAAATATATTGAATAGAATCATCTTAAAATTAAAAATGAGTAAGATGAAAGTTGATTCATAATTGATCAAAATAAAATGATGATTCCATAGAAATTATTAAAATGACAAAAGAAATGATTTATTTCATTAATAAATATATCTATTGAGTTTTTTTTCAAAAGTGCATAACAAACACAGCAATTCATTATTTGATTAATGGTTTTCTATTGAACAAATATGTCATGAAATATTTATGAAAATAATATAGAATTTGTGATAATGATTTATTAAAATATTGATAGTAATGAGTTTTAGTTTTTTTCAATAAGTTTCAAATCTTTTCGTATAGATTAACTTTTCTGACAAAAAAAAGATGAAAATGATACTCAAAACGTGATTTACATTGAGATGTAATCGTATACTTGGAGAGTTAATACTAAGGTTTTATTTCGTAATAAGAGAATCCATAGGAACATTTTTTTGGATTGATTCATAACCATAATTATATGTATTTGGGTTTTTAAAACTGATTAATAAGTAAAAGTAAACTAAATTTCTTTTTTATTTGAGAAATCATATATATGTTCTTTTTTTCTGACGTTTGACATCAAAAATATTCGTTAATTTACATAATTCTAGTTGCTTTGTTTCAGAAATTTTTCTTCTATGACGATAAAATTTCTTCAATGGAAATTTATTTATTAATAAAATATTTATAAAGAGCAAAACAATTTTTATAATGTTTTTTTTTTTTTTTTGCATAGAATCTTTTACAAAGTTACATTTGAAAAAGTTCACATTTTTACAAGAAAAAAAAGAACAAACTTTGCATTGAATTAATCTATATGCAATTGATATTTAATTACCGATAGAAAATATTCATTTAATATTATGAATTAAAATATAAATGATCAATAAAATTTGATTATAAATAAAAATTTAGTCATCCATTAACAAAGAAAACTCTACACAATCAAAAATGCTTCAAGCAAAATTACGTTCAATGCAATATGTCATTAATTTTTATTTCTCGTGCAATCTATTTAGATATTTTATTTCATTTCTGCAATAGATCTTGTAAAGAATAGAAATTTTTTCTCGGTCTCTCTTTTCTTCATTTACATGAAGGTGTCGAAAGAAAGAATCATAATGCCATGCATACACTTCATTCTCAATATTTTTTTATTGTCAGCATGCAACAACGCACAAGGATTACTATTGACAACAATAATGTTGATGATGATGATGATGACGATGATGTCAAACAAGAAGTTACTAATACAATTGAAAAATTTGTTCAATCTCGTCATGTACAAACATTAAAATATTTACGACATGTTATTGATGAAAATCGTCATTTAAGATTACATATTGAACATCTTAAACGACGTCAAGATATTCCTGTTAAATCACCAGCTAATATTGATTCAATTGAACCTGAAGAAATTCCAATTACTGAAATTCCTTTAGGAACACCTGAAGTATATTGAAATTCGTTTTATTTATTTTACATAGTATATATTTCTATTTTTTTTTTTTTTGTTGTTGTTATTTTAAAAGCTTATATTAGATCTTGAACATATTGATGAAGCAACAAATACTGAAGGAGATGATTATGAAACAAAATATCATATATTAAATGATGAATTAATTAATCTTAAAAAACAACATAATATAAATCGTGAAGAATATCAACGTGAACTTGAACGTGTTGATCATCAAAATATTCAATTAGAAAAAGATTTAAAAATTGCACAACAACAATTAATTATTGTACAAAAAAGTGTTAATGATAAACAAATTGAAATTCAAAATCTTACAACAATAAATTCTGATCAAAAATTATTTAATGAAGCATTAAATATACGTATTAATAAATTTGAACAAACAAATAGACTTTTAGTACAATCATTAACAATATCAGAAGAAACTCATCTAGAACTTGAAAAACAATTAAATGAATTACAACAAACATATCATCAAACAGAAGAAAATCTATCTGAATTACAAATTCAATATAAAAATATTCAAACATATTTACAAACATCTGAACATGATGTTGAATTATTAAAAGAAAAATTAAATATTCAATTAAATAAATGTCAAGAATTAAAAAATGATAATGAAGAATTAAAAGAAACAATTAAATATCTTCAACAACAAATTCAAGAGAAAATTCATCAAGAAGAACAATATATTCGTGAAAAACAATTAAATAGTAATTTTAAAGATTTTGTACAAGTTAAACGTACATTACAAATATGTCAACAAGAAAATGAACAATTAAAAGTTGAATTAAAAAAATTACAGATAAAATTTTTAAATAAAAATGAATAATTATTTTTATATTGTCTGTATGAAACTTGGTTCATAAATTTTCAGCAGATTCCTATCGTAGAAATCTAATGATCGAAAACGACTCGTATAGTTTGACTTGGATATCATTTAAACAAAGCAATTTTATTAATTGTATCAACGAAATATAATATATAAATGATTGAACTACAACTTTAGTAGCATAAAGAGTAATGGACATGTTCGATACAATAAAATAATATATCTCTTTTTTCTGGTGCCATGATGAATAAGAAATCGTTCAACATTTTTTTTTTGGTGTCGTCAATGTCTACTTAAGACTAGTATACACAAGAAAAGGACACGATTCAATTTAGGGATCTGCAATATTGATGTAAATACCAGCAATGTGTCACTCAGATAGGATTTCTTACTGCAATGATTAGAACAACATTCAGACACCAATTCGATTGACATATGCCCTTTTTGTAACAATGTGCACTAAGTACACTCGGTTGATGGACTACAGTCCACGCACATTGAAAGTATACCCTTCCAATTTTTTGTTTTTTATTAATATACGCTTTTTATCTATTAACCTACTATATATATATATATAGGAAGAAAGCCCGGAATGCGCTGCATCTTTTGGTATATTTACATTGACCATCAAATGCAGTTTAAAGTATAAAAAGTGTATTAGAAGAAAAAGTCACTTTTTCTTTTTTGCCACAGTGTTCATAATGTTGTAACATTTTTTATTTCACATATATCTCGGCTTAGGTTAATGATAAAACGTTGAATTTTTTTCCAAAAGATGCGTCGTGAAAAGCTCTACAAACGCTGCATAATTGAATTCTTTTTTTACCTGTTCTAGTGATTTTTCTGATACTCAAAATGAACAAATTACATGCCAGTGTCACTTACCATCATACTGGAACTGTTGGAAGACTGCTTTGATCGCCATCTATCTCGACTTGAGAAAATGACGGAATATGGAATTTTTTTGAAAAAGATGTGCCGTCGAAACCTCTACAAAACTTGTATAGACCAAGTCCTATAGTGAACCAGAGAAGACCTCGAAATTTTTTCTACTTGATGGGAAATGATACTGCTATATAAGTTGTTTCATTGTGAGTGTCAGAAAAATCACTAGAGCAGATAAAAAAGAATTCAATCATGCAGCTTTTGTAGAGCTTTGCACTGCGCATCTTTTGGAAAAAAAATTCAACGTTTTATCATTTCCTTAAGCCTAGATATATGCAAAATAAAAAATATTACACCAGTACGGATACGCGAAATTTGGAAAAAGAAAAAATGTCACTTTTTTTCTGATACACTTCTTATACTTTAAACTGCATTTGATGGTCAATGTAAATATACCAAAAGATGCAGCGCATTCCGGGCTTCCTTCCTATGTATAGTAGGTTAATAGATAAAAAGCGTATATTAATAAAAAACAAAAAATTCGAAGGGTATACTTTCACTGTGCGTGGACTGTATAAACTGATACTGAACATCTTTAGATCGGTTCAGTTCTGATCTAAAATCATACAGTTTAGAACAATATATCGATATATAATTCAAGAAAAGTGAATAAAACAAACGATGCCATAATTAAAAATGAAACTGCTGATATATTTCTCCCTATTTTTTCATCTAAGAATAACACTACGTAAACAAAACACTATTATTCGTTAAAGAGAAAACCATGAATTTATACATAAAATATTTGTCATCCTTCTATTATAGAAGATCTCGAGTACTCTGTTCTGCTCAAGCAGATAAATGTTTGACGAAAATCTTTTAATAGACTCCTCTTTGTTAAGTGTTAATAGTTGAAATATAACCGAAAAGTAGCAGAACAGTTGATTCCGCTACAAGGAAAAAACGACGTACTTCCGTATTACGACTGGACTCCATGAACTCTGTGGACTCCGTGGTCTCCCAAAGTACAGGAAATACAAGAAGTCCTGCGGAAGTGCTGAAGTAAGCTGTTTCTTCCTTGCGAAAACATATTCTTTTTCAATTAAACTTCATTCAAACTAAGTCAAAAAAAGACTGTTTTCAAGTAATCAAGATTTTATTTGTCGTTTAATCGATAATATTTTTAAATTATTCTTTATTGTGACGATAATCAATATTTAATTGACATTTTAAAATTCCTTGAAATTAAATTTTATTAAAAATCAAACGATAAATTAACTAACTACTTAATGTAGGTTTTTTTTGCAAGACGTTTAGCTTTCCTTCTTTCTCAATGTAGACATCAAATATTGTCATTGTTTGTCGCGATGATCTCAAGAAGCAAAAGTAAAAAAAAAAATACTTATTTAAACGTGAGAATAAAATATCATAATCAAGTCGATAGCATCCGTTTTCGTCTCGTTAATATGACATTCTGTTTTGCTTATAGAAAACATTCAAGAAGGCATTCTCTATGCTTACAGCAATGGTAGCCATGAATATAATAATGAAAATCAAGCGATCTGAACGAATTTCTTTTGAATAGTGTTCATTCTAGTAAACTGCATTTCTATTTTATTCGATGGATAGAAATATTCTTTTTCGAATATGAGAAAGAGAGATTTTGTATTCTACGTAAACATCAAAGTAATCATAGGTTTTCTAGGACACATTGCCTAAAATATTTCAGTATCCAAAAAAATAAAACTAAGTTAAAATTAAAAGAAAAAACGCTTTCTCTCATACAAAACAGTCAGAAGTTCTCTTCGAAATGAGAGTCGTCCGAACGCCGCCGTACATTGAAATTTGTCATTTGATTGCCTAGCGGTAGATGTCACTGTTATTCATTTCTTATCGATCGTCATCGATATTAATGGTTTGAAAAAGAACCCATTACATGTAAAGACCGTGGATTTTTGTCTATAGGCCTTATTTGCATTCTTTACAATCATTATCGATTTATATAAAAATAAAAACGTAATATGAGTAGTGAGTTTACAACAACATCTGTGGAAAACAAACCACAAAAGATGACAGTTGATGAATATTCTAAATTGATAGCCAAATGGCAAGAAGCATATTATGCATGGAATACTAGTTATGTGACTTATTATAAGTAAATATAATTATATTTTTTAACATTTAAAAAAAAACAAACAAATCCTTTCTGTTTTTTTTTCTTCTTAAGTATGATGATGTTAAATTCATTAGTTCAACAAGTACCACTTTTGACAGGTGTTAATCTTTTGACAACGACGACTGAAACAATTCATTCAGTACCACCACCGACACCTGTTGATCCATTAGCAGATATTCGAAATGGTTAGAATAAATTTTCTATGAACAATAAAAATATCTTTTTGTTTATTTTATAATTAGCACGTTTAAAAGTTGCATCAATTTGGCGTCGTTTTCTAGCTGAAGCTATTGATTGTATTCTTTTACATGCATTTAAGTAAATAAATTTATTTCAATTATAATTTTGTATAATTATGTTTTTGTTTTTGTTTTATTAAAAGAATTCTTATTATATTTATTCTTGCAAATTATTTTCATTTATTTGATGCAAGTCGACTTACACTTAATTATATGATTTCAAGTTTAATTTATGATGAAACTTTATCATTTCCACTTGAACTTATTTGTGTTGAACTTGCATATCTCATAGGAAGTATTGCATTTGAGGTTAAATTCTTTTTTTTTGAATTTGATTTTGTTAAAATGAATAATAATAATTTGTTTTTCTTTTTTTTGTTTTTGTGATAGAGTTTTTGTCTTACACGTTATGGTGCAACACCCGGTAAACGTTTATTTCATTTACGTGTTCTTAAATGTGATCATCTTCAAATACAAGAAAATGGTGATGTTACAATTGAACCTGGTACAATACTTGATAGTGCAGCGTAAGTTTTATTTTTAATATAATATTTAATTTAGTTCTTTTCTTTTTTCTGATATATATATTATTTTAATTTTAGAGCATTAACTCGTTCATCATTTAAAACTCTTATGGCAACATTTTTATTTCCTGCTGTTATTGTTGCTTTATTAACATCACAAAATCGTCAAACAAGTTATGATATGGCTGCTAATACTGTTGTTGTTGAATTTCAACGTCGAGAGTAAATTCAAATGGTGTTTTATTTTATTTCTTTTTTACTGTTAAAATCTAATTTTTTGTTTTTTTTTTTGTAAATAATAAAAAAGGCAATGGGACAATACTAATAATTTCAATAAGGTTTAGTTTATTTTTATTAACCTATATATTTTATTTTTCATTGTTGTTTAAGATGACAAATAATAATGGTAGAGTTGATATTCAATTATCAACTGTAGACGAACATTATAATGAAAGTGATGATAGTGAATTGGATGAACCACAACAACCAATTCCAAATGTTGAAGAACAAATTGATACAGTGAGTTAATTTGATATGTATTTTTTAGTTTTAGCTCTATGACCATAATGCAAGAGTAATCAGAAATTCGATTTAGAGAAAAGGTTTTGAAAATAGAATAACTTTAGAAAGGTTTGAACTTATCGATCTTCTCTATAGAGTTACGAAGGTTTTTACTGTAGAATTGAATCTTAATAGGAAACTTTGTTGTCATGATTGATTTGCATATATTGTAAATCAAAGGATTCAACACCATATGCTTCATTGTCAGACTTCCAACATATTGAGATGTTTGCAATGAAAGATGTATATTCGTTATATGTTAAAGTATAAGTTTAGAAAAGATAGATCAAGGACAGATATCGTACATTTAACCTTCTTGTATAATAATACTGCAATAGACTTTCTTTTTATGGCTAATGGGAAAAAGCTAAACTAATAATTTTTCGATAAATAGATTGTATGAGTTTTTCAATGTTCTGAAAATTTCAGTCGTAAGAAAGTTCAGTTTTTTCTACAGTTGATCATAACAAACAACTCTTATTGAAATTTTATTAGTTAAAAAAAATGATTAAATAATAATACTTTCGTTCGATCCTATTATTCAAATCAAATAGATTTTGAAATATTATTTATTATTTATATTCTGTAGAGTCAACTTCAATGGCTTCCATGGATGTGGTATTATACCAAACGTTCAGCAAAAAAAGGTTATGAAATATGTGATGTGGCAGGAGAAAAATTAGCTTGGTTTTTTGGTATAACAAAACCAAAATATTATGCTGAATTTCAAGAATATGAACGTATGGATGAAGAGGTATATTTGTTTATGAATGTTAATAATTATCAATATATAAATTCTTTAATTAATAGGAACGAGAAGCATGGCGACAAGCATTTCAAGATGTTGAACAAACTAGTCATGTACTTGATTCAATCGTAAGTTTCTTCAATTTTCTAGATGTTACAAAACTTCATATCTATATACTTTTTAGAGATAAATAAGTAGGTTGGGTTGCCTCATAATATCTTAACATATAAACGTTTTTTTGTTTTTTTTTGAAAATCTAACCTTTGCACGATATATATATATATATGACATTTATTAAATAATTAATCAATTTTAGTGTTAATTTGCTTTGCTTTTTCTTCCTAATAGGTCACTACTCCACCTCAAACATCAAATCTATTCATTATTTCCCATGAAGATAATACAAAATAATGATCAATTTTGTAATAATTTGATTGTGCTTTATAATATTTAAAATTTCTATTTTTTTTTTTGTTCTGGTTTATTAATAAAAAAAATTTTCAACAAAAAAAAAAGAACAAATCAATTCGATGGTTAGCTGTAGAAAGATCGAAAGGAAAAATAGTTGAAAAATGCTTAAGAAAATTTTGACTACTAAGACAAATTGTGTTTAGTATATAGGACAATACTTATGAAATTTACAGATGAAAATTCGTTAAATGTACATTTTCAGTATTTCATAGTTATTAAAAATATAATCATCTAATAAGAACTAACGATCAAGATATCGAAATTTTATTAGATTTTTCAACAAAAGGTTGTGATCACATAGAAAATCAAGTTTTGTCTTCAAACTTTGCACGAACAAAGTTCTTAATGAGATAAGTTGATTGCTCAACTATTATCCATTGAAAAACTCAATAGACTTTATTGTATTACAAATAATTCACGCATAAAAGTATCTAACGATTTGCAATTTTCAGTTTTAGAAAAAGAACGGATAACTCTATCAACCATTGACAGAGAAAAATCAAGACTTTTCTAGGTGATTCCTTTATCAAGTTATAAGCGTTGTTCCTAGACTCCGTAATTGATCAAATTCATCCATGTCAATTTGTTTCAAACCGACCGATGATCAATTAACCAATGACGGGATCTGAGAAGAATGCTTATAACTTGAACATCTAATTGAAAAATTTCACAGATCGGTAGATACTTTCATGCTTTAGTTATTCGTAATATAAAAAGGTTCATTGATTTTTTTCAATAGATAATACTTGCACAATCAAATAGTCTTGTTAAGGACTTAGTTTATGAAAAATTTCGATATTTCAAGAACGAAGATTTGGAAAAGTAAACCATACTAAACTTTTCTATTAATCATCAAACACGCATCGTCTTAGTCGAAAAGCAATCTGACACTTGGAGAAGTTTTCTCGTAAGATCTTCTTCTTTACGAATTAATAAAATGAAATAATTGGAGATTGTTGATTGACTAGTAGCTGTATATTAGTTATTTTTCTAGTTATTTCCATTAATATCTATCAATTAGACACATAGCTTTTTTTTCGATATGTTTCCTTTCGATCTTTCTTCTACATTAAATTAATTCGATACAATGATAATACTACGAACAGAGTTCATTAAATGATGATATTGAATTACTTTTATTCGATAGAGTTGAATTTGAACTTATAATTGGTGTTTTAATATAAGAAATTGATTGTTCAATTAAAGAAAATAATCGTTTACTTGTTGGTGATATTATAAATGTTGTTAATTCATCAATTATTAAATATTGTTGAAGACTTTTCGGTAAATTAGAAATAAATTCAATTCGTCGATCAATTGATGATTTTATATATTGACGTATTTTTCGACGACATAATGCTAAAAGACGAATAGGTGCTTGTTGACATAATACTAAAATTGTTTTTATTGTATCTCGACGTTGTTTAAATAAATAAATTCGTTGATTTTCAAGTAAATATTTTAACATTTCAACATATAAACTTAATAAAACAAGAAAAAAAATATTCCCAACATATTTTTCTATCTCTATTCTCTTTCTTTTTATGTTAAAGTCGATTTAAAAAAATAATAATATAACTTTTTATGATGCTAGTGAGTGCATTGACTTCAAGTTTTCTGCTAAAAGTATGTCGGAGAAACTTTAGGGTACTCGGTGGATTTCTATCGCTTTATTACAAAAATATTTCTAAATGTTCAATCTACTAGTTTGTTGAAAATTTATTTTGTAGAATGCTTTAGGAACTGAGCAACAAAAACTATCCTAAAAAAGGTACATTGAATTTAGTACACTCACTAGAGTAGTGATTCGAAACACGATGGTAAAGGTAATAATATTGAACAAATAAGTCATTTTCGTATCACTATTAAATATATGATATGAATCTTCTCTTTTGAATGGTAAAAACCGCAGGTTTCTATGATATTTCTATGAAATGTTATTCCATAAACAATACTTAGGGCTGACCAAAAGTTCTTATCACGATGTTTAAAGAACCTTATCGGATAAAATAATCTATTCAGAAAGGAAAAACCAAATATACCATGTTGTAGAGCTTTTTGTCGCGCGTCGAATGGTATATAGTAAATCTTGTTTTCATCAGATTTCGAAGGAACTAGAGTTAATTTACTGATAGACGACTACATACCCACACCCACACCCTTTTTCCCTGTCTGAATAGATTGTCTTATCCGACAAAGGCCTTTAAACACCATGATCAGAACTTTTAGTCAGTCCTAAGTAGAATAACATTATATTTTGAAATAGTTCGTCATTGATCAATCCTTTTTAATCATACAAAAAATTTGCTTACCTATTACCACCCATTTCAATAAATGCACAATAAAGTAATAAAAAAAAACGATTTATTGTTTCTTTATCTTTAATAATACGTTGTAAATAAAAAATAATTAATTGTTTATAATTTTCAATATACATTCGTTGAATAAAATAAATAATATGTATAATATTATGATTAAATACAAATATATTTTGTGCTAGAAGAAGATTACTATATGTTATATTACATGGCCAATGTGTTTCTTCAAATATTTTCCATGCTAAATTTTCTAAATCAAAACGTTTTTTAATTCGACAATAAAAAATAAAATCAAATAATGGAAATAAATATGGAATATTTGGTGTATAACCAATAATAGCATATTTAAGTTCAATATCATTTAATTGAAATTGATCAAGTAATATTTCAACTATATTTAAACGTTGATAATAAATATCTTCTTCATTTGGATTTGAATATGATAAACAACCAAGTGCATAACGTAATGGTGAATAACCAAGAAAATTTTCATATTTATAATTTGCATTATAATTTAATAAAATTTTTACAATTGTTGGTATACCACGATAAATAGCATAGAATAAAGGTGTTAAACCAGACATATCAACATGATTTATATTAGCACCTTTACTAATTAATAAATGTATAAGATCTTCTTCTGTTGTTTCAGATAATAATGTACGATATTCAATTGCATAAATTAATGGTGTTTTACCAAATCCTAATAAAAACAAAAGAAAATTTCAAATTTTCTAAAAACAAAAAAACATTGTTCTTATTTTATACGTACGATCAGTAAGATTTAAATTTGCATTATAATTACATAATATATCAATAAAAACTTCATCAGCCCAACCACATGCTCGATGAAAATCTGATGCTAATATTGAACCTGTACGTCGATTAATATCAACATTTAATTCAAGTAATGCAAATACTGTATCTAAATGACCACCAATATAAGCAAGCCATAATGGTGTATTTCCAAATTCATCTGAATCATTAAGATCAGCACCTTCACGATACATTTCTTCAATATCATTTGTACGACCTTCAGCACATGCATCATGTACATTACGTGACATAAATGTCCATGGTAATATATCCATATCTGTTTCGTAGATAAGTTTCATTTTCTTTTTTTTTTTTTTTTCAAAATAAGACAATCGATTTATTATATCGTTTATCGAGACAAATAAGAAAAATTAACAAAAAACTAAAGTAATGAACATAATTAATATTTATATGATAAGGAAGTGAATAAGAAGGATGTCGGCGATGAGTATTAATGATGGAATTGGGACGAAGTTTTTTTTCTTTGTCTATTCACGTATTTAACTCACTCCTTCCAGGGGAAAAATTGGAAGATAGAAATATCTTCATCTACCGCCTTGTTTTTTTTTCATATTTTGTAACTATGACAGTCGAAAATATATAAAAAATAAATAAATAAATTAGAAATATATCAATGAATTTAACTTTATCGAATAAATACGAGCTTATTAAACAACACCAATCGCATTCAAATTCAATATATTTGAGATTACAGTTTACTGCATGATGTCAAAATTCAACAATATGAATCATTAATTTCGATATGATAGAAAAACTCACATCGAACGGTGTACTCAATATTTGAAACAAGTTTTTGTTGAATTTCGATGTAATAATGAAGAGGTTATAAGAAAATGAAATGTGAGAAAAACTTATTTTAAGTATTGATTAAAATTATTCAATACAAAATTTTCTATTATTTCTAAATATGATATTCGTTTTATTTAGAATTAAAGTTCTATTGATTGAAAACTCTGAATATGAGCATGAGTTGTTGTTATCACATGAAAAAAAAATCGATATTCTCCATAATGAAAGGTTTTTGTCTAATTATATGATGAGTCAAATCATGCAAAACAATTCGAATAAATACTCAAGCTATTGAGATTTGATACTTTTGAGATATTTCAATTTTTATAAACCTTCTTAAATTTTCCTAGATAAACATTGTTCAAACTTTGTATGATGTCCTATTCTTAGACATCATTATTTTCAAAACTCTGTGATACAAAAATATGATCTTGGCTCTTAAATTCATGTTTCATTATTGACAATACTACGAAATGCAATAGAAACTAATCCTATTGAAGACTTAAATTATACAAATTTTAAATTGAAAACTCGGACATTCACGATAAATTGAATGAACATAACTCAAAAAGAAAAACTTTTGCGTACATGAAGTTTTCTTTTTCTTATCTCAATAAGATCAACTCTTGATGATTTAGAATTTAAATTCAACAATGATTTATTACTTTACAGAGTTTCCTGATGTGTATATCCTACGAAAATTTTGATTTTTATCTATTATTTTAAAAATGACATTATTTCAACTGAATGAAGACAATAAGAATCATTGATAGTTATTTTATTTCCGCTCTATTTCAACCGGCATGATACCGACATACTTATCCCTACTAGAATAGTTATGTCCACTTCAACTGTCTTCTTCTCTTTAGAAGAATCAATCAACTTCTCCAAAACGAAAAAAAAAAGAAAACAAGACAAGACGCCTATACGTATCTCATCTCGTATATTTTCCGCTTGATTTCTATTGATATCCAACTGTGTTTAGAAATATATATTCATTATTATAGTAAATCATAGAAAATTACTCAGATACAAAATTCTTTGTTTTTTTTATTATTTTCAATTTATACAAGCCATATTTTAACATTTTTCATAGTCATTCGTTTACTTTCATCTTTGGTATAACGAATAAATGATTGTGAATTTGTTGTAAATTGTAATCGACGTTGTGATATAACAACTGGTAATTTTCGTTTTATTGATGTTGTTATTGGTTGACGACGAATTTGTTTTGGTGTACTACAACATACAGGTGAAATTAATAATGGTCGTTGATATCTTACAAATGAATCTAAAAGAAAAATTTTCTTTATCGCATTTTAATTATACAATGATAAATTTACGTGGAGAATCATTATTATTATTATATAAATGTGATTGTTCAATATCATATGGTGTTGATGTAGCAAGTGGTCGAAATGATATATTTTGTCGATGTTTTAAATGACTAGTAGTAGTATTTAAATGTTCAAATAAGAATAATGTTGGTTCTTGTTGTGTAGAAAAAATTTTTGATTGATGTGAATAACGTCGTTTAGTTTTTTCCATAGTTAAATTCTACAGAAAATAAGAAATTATATTATTCAAACTAATCTTTTAGAATAACTAAAATAAGAATTATGAAATAATAGATGATGTCATCCACACGTGTGTATTTCACACATTCGATAATGAATTATATAAGATTGAAAATGGATGTTATTATATTATTTTATATCATATTTTAAATTGTCTTAATCCATTAGTCAATTATAAAACATTGACATGATCAAAATATTTCAGATAAAAAACACAAGTATTTCGAGATCGATCAGAAGTTTTTTTTTTTTTTGTATTACTGAAGCTCAACGGATTTGAAGGAAGTGCATGGATGGTTGTTTTTCTTTTTTTAAGTTAAAAAATAAAATTTCATAAAAGATTTTCAATATATTTCGAATTGGTCTTGTATTTTTGCTCATAGAATCTAAATAGAATAAAGAAAATGTTCGATACAAACTTGTGGTGAAGTTTTTCGAATAGTACGTTGTTGATTAGTTGTACTTGGCTTCTTATTCATCGAGATGACAAGTGTTGCAAATGATTATAGATAAACAAAATAGATATAATGGTCACAGATAATGTATTTTTTTTTTCTTCTTTTTTCTTCGTCATATACAATTGGTGAAAAAAATATTTTAATGACGAATCATTCGTCAATTAAGAGAGAGAAAGAGAAAAAAAATAGAAATGATTAACTTTGATCATAAATTATCTAGAAAGAGAAATTTGTTAGAGATATGTTCTCTTTAGATTAGAACCCGTTAGGAGCGTAACTAGGGTGAGGCGCGACGCCTCCGTGCTTTTGAAAATTTGGTTTTTTTTAGTCAAAAAAATCGAAAAAACTGCGTTTTTAGGGGTATTTTAGTGCAGAATTCATACGAACGAAGACGTTACGCTCCCCTGCTTCGAGATTTTGAGATATTAAGGGTCTACGCCCCCCCTCCTGCCTTAGAGACCGAGTTACGCCCCTGAAACCCGTTGGATTGATCTTGAATTTGAAAATGCTTCTCGACAATAATTCTGTTCCAATTAGAAAAATACTCTAGTAAAGAATTTTTGAATTTTCGTGTACACACTTTAGATTTAGATTTAGATTTTATTTTATTTACGTCTTCAACAAAACCGAGAACGATTGATTTTGATATTTAATCAAAAAGATGAAAAAAAAAGATGTTATGATTGAATGTTATTATGTTTTAATACAATTCTTTTTTTGATGATCAATTAGTTGAACATAGAAAAAATTAGAATGTATATGACGACTTGCTTTTTATCATCAATATATATGTTAAAAAGAAAAAAAAGAATCGGCCATGGATATGTTATTGATTATTTCATAAAGTTCATTTGAATATTGTTCAAAATTGTCAAACAAAAACAAAAACAATATGTTCTTTCTTTGATGAACTAAATGGATTAAAATAAATGATGAAGTTTAAGATTAACTAAAACAATTCAGTATTCTGAAAGTGTTTTATATCATAGTTTATTGTGAATTTTCAAAAATTAGTAATTAAAAAAATAAAGCATAAGAAGTTGTTTTTTGAGGAAGTTGCAGTCTTTTCTAATGTTTCATATCTTAAAAGCAATTTAGTACAATTGCTAAATATTATTAAGTTAGCGACATTTGTCGAATTTATCTAAATATTGATTTTTAATAGATTAAATCAAGACAATAGAATATTATTTTTCATTTTCTGATGTGAAAGTAAATTATATAAACATTGTTTTTAGGTATGAATGATACGTAATAGTTTATAAAACTGAATTGAGTAATACGATTGTTTCATTCGCGACACTGCCATAATATTGAGAAGGCTGATGATTAGGATGAGAGTGAAAATAAGAGCAATGGTTACATTTAAATTCACTGTTGTTATAATCAAGAGTCGTACGGAAAAAATCTCACGCTAAATTTAAAGAATAGTAGTCATAAATTTGTTGAAAAACAGGATTTTCATTTGTTTTAAAGACAGTTCATAAGCTGATTGGCGTAATATCGAAAAGACTGCACAGAACTAGATGAGAGTGAGTATTCTATGCATTTAATCGATTATCAATACTAGTAAGAACAGAAAAAGAATATTAAAAGCAAATCTCTATTCAGTGATTATGAGATGAGTGAAAGAAAAATAAATATAAAAATTATTTATTTTTCTTAATTTTTGTATCAGTCTTGATCACAGATGTACTAATCATCCATTGTAAAATCACATAAACAATAAGAATAATTATTGCAAAGATTATTTTACCAAATAATGTACTATTGAAAATAAAATAGAATAACCAAATTAGAGAAGGAATAACAATTGTTACAATCCAAAAGAATTGAATGAAAAGATCAGAATAGTTCTGAGGAATAGATATTTGAGATATACCAAGACCATCAAAAGTATCATGTTGAATAAAATGTTCATAAATACGATCCTTAACAAAAAAAAAAAAAATAAGATATTAAAAAAGTTTTCGAAAGATTTTTTAGTCAAACGAACAAAGAATTCGATTGTATAAGAGATATTTCGAAGCTGTTCTCATCTTTAGCATAGAAAACTGAGTAACCACCTAGTTTGTTTCAAAGTTTTTCATTGTACGTTTCACCTTTCGAGAAATTAAGCTGGGATCCCATCCCAAAGTGCAGTGAAAAACCATTATTATTTACTTAGCTATTCTTTTGCTCCTAATAACATTTAACAAGCTCAGAATATGTATGACATTGTTTAAAAAAATTTCTAATAAAATTCATATTCTTAGCTGAATCCTGAGGAATATCTTAGCTTAATATTTTGAGAAAAAAGTACAATGAAAAATTTTGAAATATATTTTGGTTGACTAGTTTTGTTGATTGAAAACTTCATGTTATTCTTTGTTTCGTTTCTCGAGATGATGAGCACAAGTAATCAGATGATTAAATGATTCTTATATTCATTCCGAACAATTATTTTGTTATAACTCGACAACATTTCGATCATTTAAGATGAAACTTTTATCAAAGATGCACTATAGGATAAATAGCCATCTCTGTTTTTTGTAAAAGTAAATATTACTAGTTTGAGCTAAAATACATCTAGATTCTTCGGAAATGACTGTCATGTGTTCTTATGTTTTATTTAAATAAATACTAGAAAAAGAAATCATCTCAAAGTCTATATCTACTATAGAAAAAATTTTATATGATTACTTTTTCTTGAAATAATTTATGAATCCATTCTGCACATTTTTCATCATCTTGATATGGAATTTCTGACATAGGAATTCGTCTAAAAAAAAAGCAATCACTGAATATAAAATATCTTCTGTTCTTATTAATTTACTTCAAATACATATGAGCTTTACATGAATGTCCATTCAATAAGGTACGAAGTTTAGGTGCAGCACTATCCTTTGAAAAACCAAGCATAAAATTATAAACAGCAGGTACTTAAAAAAAAAAAGACGACATAATAAAATAAAAAAAAACAAACAGATTTTCAAATAATTTACTTTTTCCTTTTGCACCTTGCATAATCATTATTAAACCTTTCGTTCGTGGTAATATATGATATTTTAATTCAGGTAAATTTTTCTCACGTGCATATTTCATACTTTCTAATCGTTTTGTTTCTGTATATCTAGTACCTTCACAAGTCATAGTTATCTATGAAAAACATTAAATTTTCTTATAAAAAAAAAAAAAATTTAATTCAAAATAGATATCATATACATTAAAATAATAATTATCTGGATAATTATCGAGCAATTTTTGAATATCATTTTCTAATATTTTCTTATCATTTTCCCATATACGACGTAAAAAAATTGATTCAGTAAAAAACCATGACCAACCAAGAACTGGTATTAAACTAAGGGAATGTTTTCCAACGATTTTTGTACCCTATATCGACAATAAAAGATAATTTTAAAATGAATTAAATATAAAACTAAAATCTACTCCTAATAAACCACGCTTTTGAGCAAATACTAATGCAACAAGCCAATCAATTTCATATCGATGATTAGGAAGACATATTGCATATTCCTGTCGGAGATAGTCAATATCTTTTGAATCAGCATAAATTTTTAAATCTGAATTTGACCACCATGAATAAAGAAAAGTTAATTCTACAAAACAAGAATAATTTTTATTATGAATTAAAAAATTAATTTTTCTTTTTTTTTTTTTTATACTTACGACTCCATATTAATGTTGCTAAATGATAATTTAATTGACGATATAATTTTTTATTAAATGGTCGAATAAAGATCCATGTAAGAAGTTGAACAAAATTTACAAATAATCCACTAATAACAAAACAATAACCAATAAATATTTGAATCGGTAATAATGATTGAATATTAATGAGAAGATTTCGATCGATCTTCATTTGAACGAAAGTCAACAGAAGTGTACAAGTATAGTATAGCAATCGAAAAAATAATGAAGAGTAACTTGGTTATGCTTCGATGCTCACATAGGATAGATGACTGTGTCTCATTTATTTTTATACATCGAACGAAAAGAAAAATCATCTAAATTGTATGCATCTATAAATAGTAAAAAAAAAGAACATGTCGGTATCGAAATTCTTTTCTTTTTTTTTGTATTATTTAAAAAATGTAACTATTAATACTTTTTATACCTGTGTCTGTGAAACGAAATATTCTACAAGTATAAATATAATATCAATAATTTGATTGATGAAAAAAAATTTTGTACAAAGTATTTATTTATTTTCTATTTTTCGAAATAAATGTTATTTAAACTAATGATATACTTAAAACTTATAATTACCATTATTATGTCAATTAGCTGTATAATATATGACAATTTGAAACAGAAGTGATTTAAGTTAATGGAATTCACGGCATTTGATTTTCAATGACATTTTCTTAGATATTATATTTTTATCCAAAAAAGCGACTATAAATTGAGGTATAAACTGATGCATTGATCGTCGGTGACTGAATTTTTTGTAACCTTTTCCCTTTGTTATCGCCATCGGCGACGGACAATATTTAACTTTTGTTTCTTTGGCGAGAACCGAAAAATTTTCTTAATTTGGAAATGAAAAAGAAAGAAAACAATGATATATAACTTATTGAAAATAAACTAAACAAGAATATCTCGAAAAACTAACTTGGAAAGGTGGCAATTTTTTAAATTTAAATATCTATTTTTATATTTCGGCAGCAGTAGTTCAGTTCTTGTTTTGAATCAAATTCAGAGAAAGTAATTCAATATTATTATGAATCATTTGATGACGTCTTTAACTTAATCTTACGACTTACATGACTTAAGAGATAAACATTTTTCTCTTATATCGGACAATTTATATCGCAATGTGAGGCTGTGGATGAAGAGAGGCAACATGTCCATACCTATAGCATTCTTTCTTTTTTTTTTTTTGCTTAAATTATTTGTGCTGGATGAGTGTTTCCTTTAAGAATGCTTCGGTCGGACGGTACAACACAATAATAAATCAATCATTATATTATTTTGATAGACAAAAAGATATTAATACAAAAAATATAAAAATAGATAATAATTCAATAACTCTTTTAATTGAAAACAAAGTGAAAGTTCAAATCTTAATATTGATCAATGATTATATACTGGTGTAAGTGTTCTTCTACTTCGGAAATTCAAATTTTGTTTTCTCCTTTTATGATACGCATTTAGATGATGTGACAGAGTTTATTTCTAAGTTATGCATATATGGTGTTCTTCTCTTATGTTGACTTACTCAGAGTATATTCAAAAAACTATTGTATGCAATGTTTCATAAATATTCAAACAGACATTAATTTAATAAAGTGATCGTGCAAAAAATCTCTACAGTAGCGTGACCGTGAATAGATTCGAACGTAGTGAAAAAAAGTGACTAAGCCTTGGTTGTTTTCGAGATAGTGTTTAATCGATCAAACATAAGCACTTTTTATGCTTTTGGACCTTAAGTAGGGTTGTTTAGGAGCTATCAGTACTAGAGACGTACCGAACTAATATCGGTCATCACGAACAAGATTTGTGTACATTGTAACTAAAAATTGTAAAATTTCCATGCCTTTTTTTACCGAATTATGTTATAAACTACATTAATGAAAAACAAAATAAGGATCGATGAGATATGCATCTGCTCAATCAGATGAAAGATAACTATTGAAGACTATTTAGATTTAATACGAATAAATCTTGAAATACTTTTTTTTCTAATCCGAGACACAAGTAGTATCCGATCACTGACTATTTTCATATGAGCCAATATTTCTAAACTTATTATTTTATTCGACTAATTGAAGTTTGTGATATATCTATACGAGGTTAGTAGTCTAGATTGTAGATTTCAGCTGCGAGAGAGCTATGGGATGCTTGTTATTAGTATAAAATGATGTTTTCAGAAGCTAAGTTTTGAGAAAAAGAATTGGTCACAAGGCCATCTTCGTCTCGAATGAATTAATCAGCAATTGTTTTAATTCAATTTTCACAAATTATTGAAGTCTAATATATCAGATGTCTATACTCTATAGTTCTATAGACTTCACATATTGAATTTTTTTAAAAAACCTAATCATAGACACTCATTACTCAGAATTTTAATTTTCAGACAAACTAAATTATGATAAACAAAAGATTCAAGAGTCAGATAGTTGCTATTCAATTTTTTTTCATCAGATTACAAACAAAAAAAATGTTGAAGTGCTAATTTTTTTTTGGCAGAGATTTGATAATCTTTTGGAAGCAAAAATATCATACATACAAGTGTTCTTAGAGATTTCTTAGTATCATTGAAATTTACTTATGCCCAAAACATGGAACTAAAAGCTTAGAAACAATGGATGTAACGCTCTCATCAAAATAAACATGAATTTAAAGAAGATTAGTTTGTAAATGTGTGTTTCAGATTGATTCTAACTTAAAACTAAAAGATGATTTTTGTATATTTTAGCTTGAAATCAAATTGAAAAATCTGAATTTCACAAAGATTGTACATGTCCAAACTTATTTCTCAAAGATATTTGATTATGAACGGCATTCATATTCCCTTATTTTCGATTTTCTGAATATTACGGCAGATGGAGGACATCAGTTTTCTTCAATAAAACCTCTTAAGTGATTTTTTGTTTTAATAGAGTGGGTATGATTGTGGGTCTACTCTTCACATTGATCTCTAACTTCTTCAATCAACATACAGTTTTGTATTCTGGAAATAATACACGATATTAACTGAAAATTAGTAGGTTAAGAGACACTTTCATTATCATGAAAGCATGACTCAACGTAGACATTATTTATGAGAGAAAATGGCTTTTTTTTAATTTTTAGTCTTCTTAAGAAAGTAGACATTCGCAGAAAAGCACTATATCACTATGGTTTTTTTTATCTCAAATTTGGATGGAGAACTGTTTTGTTTAATCATTTCTTCTAAAATAAATGTTTATTGTTTTACAACTACTCTTCGATGTTCGTCAAATCACAGCTTTGTGAGCTCTATCTAACGACATATAAATCATTAAAAAAACAATATGCTCAAATATTTTCACAGCACTTTAAAATACTATAAATCGCAATTGACCATGTGCACAAACAAAACACGTCGCTTCTCGCATTCATTAAACTGATTTATCATCGTATTACTCGCTGCACTGGTGCTCGTCATTCTTTGCAAGATTCTATCAACGACGATTTCTTCTCATTGAATCACATAGTGATATTCTTCGTTCTTTTTTTATATTAATCTGTTATCTTAAGTATGTAAGCAGTGGGTATTTAAGAGAGTAATTTCAGCACTGATATCATTCTACACAATGCTCTAAATCAAACAAGACTCCTCCTTTTCATACCCACACCCAGGACAACAATACGTGCCATTGAAACAACTGAACGTCGAAGCATATATAAAATCGTTTGCTGCCGATGTAACAATCAAACAAATTTTTCGTAATGATGAAACACAATCGATCGAAGCAGTGTATTGTTTTCCAATAGAAGAACAAGCAGCTATCTATTCATTTGTTGCTCAAATTGATGATCGAGAAATTATTGCACAATTGAAAGAAAAAAAAGAAGCACAACGAGAATACAATGATGCTCTTGAATATGGTTATGGTGCATATTTACTTGAACAAGATGAAAAATCTCAAGATAATTTTATAATCAATGTTGGTGCACTACCAGCTGGTAAAGAATGTCACATTTATATATCGTACGTCTCCGAACTGGATCTTGTTCAAAATGGAAGTCGGATACGATTTGTTGTACCAACGACTATTGCACCTCGATACGATCCAAATGAAGGTGGAATCATTTCACCAGGTGGTACCACGTCAAAATATGTTTCAACAACTCCATACACAATTGGATTTTGCTGTCAGATAGAGAAAACCAACGTCTCTCGAGTTAGTTCGACATCTCATCCTATCCAGATTGAAGTCGACCAAGAGAATGTCTATGTCATCAAATTTGCTCAAAAAAACACACATCTAGATCGAGATATCTTACTAGATATTGAGTTAGCTAGCAATCGTTCAAATACCATTATTGCGGTGGAACCAGGTGCTATTATGGTTTCATTTACACCAACTGAAGAAGATTGTCAACATGCGATGAACAATGTAGAGACGACCAATGAATTTATTTTTGTTATCGACTGTAGTGGATCGATGGAAGATGAGAATAAGATTGGATTAGCACGTGAAGCTATGTTGCTCTTTCTCAAGAGTCTTCCGCTAAATTGTCACTTTAATATCATTCGATTCGGATCAACTCATCAGGCATTATTCAACGATATAACTGCCATTTACAATGAAAAAAATGTTCAAAAAGCAGAACAGCTTATCAATCAGTTATGGGCAAATATGGGTGGCACTGAATTGGTTAGTCTTAACGCTTATATCTTAAAACAGCTGATTCTCTGTCTCTATTATAGTTACAACCACTTCTGTGGTTAGAAGAACATCCTGCACAAACAGGTCGTTCGAGACAAATATGTCTGTTGACAGATGGCAGCGGCGGATCTAGGATTTTTTTGATATGGGGCGATTTTGACCAAAAATCGAGTTTTGAAGTTCATTAGTAGTAGTATGCACTCTATTTTTAAGTCTTTTCTGCTGGGAAAAATCGAAAATTTTTTTTTCGAATGGGGGCGATCGCCCCAAGCGCCCCCCCCTAAATCCGCCACTGACAGATGGAGAAATTTCAAATGTCAACGAAGTACTCGATCTATGTCGCTCGATGGCTACTTCTACACGGATCTTTTCATTTGGTTTGGGTCATTCACCAAGTCGTTCACTAGTCAAAGGTCTTGCTCGAGCAACAAATGGACGTTTTGTTTTTATTCCACCTAACAGTAATGTTGACGTTCATATTGGTAAACAGTTACAAAAAGCT